GATTAATAGGGCCGCTGGCAAAGGAATCCTAGCTGATGTTCCCATGCCCAGGTCCCTGCGGGACATGTCAGGCCAGTCCGTGGGGCCATCCCAACTGCCAGTATTGTATGGGGCCCTAACCCAGTACAGACCTGGCCATGGGGTCCTTCCCCACCTACGGGCTGAGGGACACCCCTCCAGGCATGATGGCCCCATTCCTGGTATGAGGCTTCTCCCTGGCCCCCCTAAGGAACCTCTCCTGGAATGCAGCCCCCTTTCCTAGAGATGTGAGGACTTCTCTGACCCCTGGCCACAGAGTTTTGGAAGTAGGGAGTAGCTTCTCAGAGGCATGGGCCCAGTTCCCCAGGGCCATTATATATAAAAGACAACATGCCAGATGAAGGGATGGGCAGTGCAAAGGCCTGCAGGAAGGAAAGCAATTGGCTCATTGAAAGGCCTGTGTGGCTGAAGTGTAACGGAGAGAGCTAGCAGGTGAGGACAGATACAGCAAGGTCAGGTCAGGTTAGGTCTCAAGAGGCCTCGGTAAGGAGTTCGGATTCCTTCCTAAGTGTGCCTGACCAATAGTCATGGTCTGCACCCTTCATACTAGGATGTCTGCCTCTTCTCTCCTCCATCTATTAATTCATTTATTTTGGGAGAAATATTTTAAAGTAAATTAGACAAATTATGACATTTCATCCCTAATATTTCAACATGCATCTCTAAAAAGCCATTTCTTACAAAGCCACACTACATTTATCCAGTGATTTTTAACTTTTTTCATCTCATGGCACACATTAACTACAAAAATGCTGTATCACACCAAAAAATATTTTTCCAATCTGACAAAAAAATATGTATAATTTTATTAATAGACACTGGACGGTTATTGTTGTATTGGCTGTTGTCATGTTTTTTTGTTTATTTTATATATTTTATTGTTTTTTTTACAGAGAGAAAGGGAGAGGGATAGAGAGTTAGAAACATCGATGAGAGAGGATTATGGATCAGCTGCCTCCTGCACACCCACTACTGGGGATGTGCCCGCAACCAAGGTACATACCCTTGACCGGAATTGAACCTGGGACCCTTCAGTCCGCAGGCTGACGCTCTATCCACTAAGCCAAACCGGTTTCGGCTGTTGTCATGTTTTAATTTAACAATCTAGAGGAAAAAATGTCAGTTCCCTGACTAAATAGCAGGAATTGCATGGTTTGGTTTTGTTTTGAAATATATTTTTATTGAATTCAGAGAGGGAGAGAAAGAAACATTAATGATGAGAATCGTTGATCGGCTGCCTCCTGCAGGCCTCATACTGAGGGAGCAAGCCCAAAACCTAGGCATGTGCCTTTGATGGGAATCTAACCTGGGATCCTTGAGTTTGCAGGCTGATGTTCTACCCACTCAGCAAAACTGGCTAGGGCTGGAGTTGCAAGATTTAAAAATTCTTGCAGCACATCAGCATGCCTCGGCGCACTGAAAATCTCTCTTTATCATCCCTAATAAAATTAACAGTAACTTCTCAACATAATCTAACACCTAGTCCACATTCAAATTTCTCTAATTGTTCCCAAAATGTCTTTTATAGTTATTTGTTCAAGGCAGAGTCCAACCAAGGATTATCTTTTTTGTTTTGATTTTTTTTTTAAGTTGATCTTAATATCTGGAGAGACAAAGATTACCAATGATGACTATAGTTCAAGTCATCATGTTAGGTGTTGGGATGGGAAATGTTTTCAATTAGCTGGTCAATGTTTCTGGCTCTCTATCCCTCTCCCTTCCTCTCTGTAAAAAAATCAATAAAATATATATTTAAAAATATTATTTTCAATTACAGTTGACATTCAATTACAGTTGAGTCTGGTTTCTTTCTCTTAGCATAATGCATTTGAGATTCACCCAGATTGTTATACTTATTAGTTCATTCCTTTTTAATGCTGAGCAGTATTCTACTATGTAGACATACCAATGTATTTATCTGCTTACCAGCTGAGGAGCATTGGGTTGAGGTGATTGTTTGTTGGAATTTTTTTGTAAAAAAGAGCTTTACCTCATTGACTAGGGCTATATAGTTATCCTGAAATACGAAAAAGACAGGATAAATTTTAAATTCCTTTCCTTTAATGACCAATTTTCAGACTAAGAATTTGGTGCAATAACAACATCCAAGGGTGACAAATTAGGATTGAGGGTGTGGTGTTTTTTTTTTATTTTTTATTATTATTATTTTTTTAAAGCAATCTTTATTGTTCATATTATTACAAAGGTTCCTCATTTCTTCCCCCCTCCACCAGGTTCCCACCCCACCCTCCGTCCCACCCCCCCATCCCCCATTGTCCTCATCCATAGGTGCAGTTTATGTTCAGTCTCTTCTTCCCTCAATTTCCCCAATAGTAAATCCCTTTTCAGATAGTAAATCAGTTACTTAGCATTTTCTCATATCAATAATACCTCCACATGCCCAATGATACACTTCACACAAAAGACATTTCCCACTAGGTCAACCAGCCTCATCCAGGCCCCACCCAAGGCACTCACAGATCAACACCCCAGCCCTATACTAACTCAACACATCCATATCTAAGCCTTCATCACTTGATTCAGCAGACACTCAAGTTCCCACAAAAGTTTCCAGCCATGTCTGAGAAGCAGCCGTGGGGCAGGGGCAGGCAAGGAGCGAGCTGTTCTGGGCCTGGCCGCACCCGACCCGCCTGCTCCCCCGGGCCTGGCCGCTCCCAGCCTGGCAGCCGCTGCTCCGGGCCTGGCCGCACCCGACCCGACTGCTCCCCCGGGCCTGGCCGCTCCCAGCCTGGCAGCCGCTGCTCCGGGCCTGGCCGCACCCGACCCGACTGCTCCCCCGGGCCTGGCCGCTCCCAGCCTGGCAGCCGCTGCTCCGGGCCTGGCCGCACCCGACCCGACTGCTCCCCCGGGCCTGGCCGCTCCCAGCCTGGCAGCCGCTGCTCCGGGCCTGGCCGCACCAGCCCCGCCTGCTCCCCCGGGCCTGGCCGCTCCCAGCCTGGCAGCCGCTGCTCCGGGCCTGGCCGCACCAGCCCCGCCTGCTCCCCCGGGCCTGGCCGCTCCCAGCCTGGCAGCCGCTGCTCCGGGCCTGGCCGCACCCGACCCGACTGCTCCCCCGGGCCTGGCCGCTCCCAGCCTGGCAGCCGCTGCTCCGGGCCTGGCCGCACCCGACCCGACTGCTCCCCCGGGCCTGGCCGCTCCCAGCCTGGCAGCCGCTGCTCCGGGCCTGGCCGCACCAGCCCCGCCTGCTCCCCCGGGCCTGGCCGCTCCCAGCCTGGCAGCCGCTGCTCCGGGCCTGGCCGCACCAGCCCCGCCTGCTCCCCCGGGCCTGGCCGCTCCCAGCCTGGCAGCCGCTGCTCCGGGCCTGGCCGCACCAGCCCCGCCTGCTCCCCCGGGCCTGGCCGCTCCCAGCCTGGCAGCCGCTGCTCCGGGCCTGGCCGCACCCGACCCGACTGCTCCCCCGGGCCTGGCCGCTCCCAGCCTGGCAGCCGCTGCTCCGGGCCTGGCCGCACCCGACCCGACTGCTCCCCCGGGCCTGGCCGCTCCCAGCCTGGCAGCCGCTGCTCCGGGCCTGGCCGCACCAGCCCCGCCTGCTCCCCCGGGCCTGGCCGCTCCCAGCCTGGCAGCCGCTGCTCCGGGCCTGGCCGCACCCGACCCGACTGCTCCCCCGGGCCTGGCCGCTCCCAGCCTGGCAGCCGCTGCTCCGGGCCTGGCCGCACCAGCCCCGCCTGCTCCCCCGGGCCTGGCCGCTCCCAGCCTGGCAGCCGCTGCTCCGGGCCTGGCCGCACCCGACCCGACTGCTCCCCCGGGCCTGGCCGCTCCCAGCCTGGCAGCCGCTGCTCCGGGCCTGGCCGCACCAGCCCCGCCTGCTCCCCCGGGCCTGGCCGCTCCCAGCCTGGCAGCCGCTGCTCCGGGCCTGGCCGCACCAGCCCCGCCTGCTCCCCCGGGCCTGGCCGCTCCCAGCCTGGCAGCCGCTGCTCCGGGCCTGGCCGCACCCGACCCGACTGCTCCCCCGGGCCTGGCCGCTCCCAGCCTGGCAGCCGCTGCTCCGGGCCTGGCCGCACCCGACCCGACTGCTCCCCCGGGCCTGGCCGCTCCCAGCCTGGCAGCCGCTGCTCCGGGCCTGGCCGCACCAGCCCCGCCTGCTCCCCCGGGCCTGGCCGCTCCCAGCCTGGCAGCCGCTGCTCCGGGCCTGGCCGCACCAGCCCCGCCTGCTCCCCCGGGCCTGGCCGCTCCCAGCCTGGCAGCCGCTGCTCCGGGCCTGGCCGCACCAGCCCCGCCTGCTCCCCCGGGCCTGGCCGCTCCCAGCCTGGCAGCCGCTGCTCCGGGCCTGGCCGCACCCGACCCGACTGCTCCCCCGGGCCTGGCCGCTCCCAGCCTGGCAGCCGCTGCTCCGGGCCTGGCCGCACCCGACCCGACTGCTCCCCCGGGCCTGGCCGCTCCCAGCCTGGCAGCCGCTGCTCCGGGCCTGGCCGCACCAGCCCCGCCTGCTCCCCCGGGCCTGGCCGCTCCCAGCCTGGCAGCCGCTGCTCCGGGCCTGGCCGCACCAGCCCCGCCTGCTCCCCCGGGCCTGGCCGCTCCCAGCCTGGCAGCCGCTGCTCCGGGCCTGGCCGCACCAGCCCCGCCTGCTCCCCCGGGCCTGGCCGCTCCCAGCCTGGCAGCCGCTGCTCCGGGCCTGGCCGCACCAGCCCCGCCTGCTCCCCCGGGCCTGGCCGCTCCCAGCCTGGCAGCCGCTGCTCCGGGCCTGGCCGCACCCGACCCGCCTGCTCCCCCGGGCCTGGCCGCTCCCAGCCTGGCAGCCGCTGCTCCGGGCGAGGGTGTGGTGTTTTTTTCCTTTGGGGGGTGCAGGGACTCTTAATGGACTCAGATTTTAATTTTTTACAGTCAATATATTTTTTTAAGGTTTCAAATGTATTTTATTTCTCCATTCATGCCATATTTTAATAGGCATACATTGCTTTCACTTGCCATCAATTATGAGTTGGTTTTGAAATAATTCATTATCACACCAACTTTGGGATGATTACTAATCTCTCCATTCCTTTGGGGTGACTGCCAACAGGGGACAGGTTCCATTCTATTCCAATTTGTGTTGCTGTATAGGTCCATGTAGCAACACAAAAGGTGGCTCCACTAGCTAAAATAGCATTGCCATATTTGTCATGGAAATCAGGTGTCCTCTTCTGGTGAATCTGCCTTGACATTGTTTGCTGAATGCTTCGAACTAGGACACGGCTTAGCACGTTTTTGGCCAACGGAAACATCGTGAAGCTGAGGACTGCACTGCAGCAACTGCAGCGGCCAGTTGGGACTTGGAGTCAAGTACCCTTGCGAAAAAATCTCTACAGTCAACATTTTTAAATCCATTGCAGTTCATCTCTCTCCCTACCCCAATCCACCCCCATTATTGAAAGAGAATTGTATTAGGCATTGAGGCTATTCAAATATGGCACACAATTCTCATCTTTAAGAAACTCGGGCTGGGGGTTGCCAGGCTGGGAGCGGCCAGGCCCGGGGGAGCAGGTGGGTCGGGTGCGGCCAGGCCCGGAGCAGCGGCTGCCAGGCTGGGAGCGGCCAAGCCCGGGGGAGCAGGCGGGTCGGGTGTGGCCAGGCCCGGAGCAGCAGCAGCCAAGTCCAGAGCAACTAGGTCGGGAGTGGCAGTGACCAGACCCGGAGCAGCTGGTTGTGGAACGAACCAGAGCAACAGAGGCCAGGCCCTGAGCAGCCAGGCCCAGAACAGCTCGCTCCTCGCCTGCCCCCGCCCCACGGCTGCTTCTCAGAAATGGCTGGAAACTTTTGTGGGAACTTGAGGGTCTGCTGAATCAAGTGATGAAGGCTTAGATCTGGATGTGTTGAGTTAGTATAGGGTTGGAGTGTTGATCCGTGAGTGCCTTGGGTGGGGCCTGGATGAGGCTGGTGGACCTATTGGGAAATGTTTTTTGTGTGAAGTGTATCATTGGGCATGTGGAGGTATTATTGATTTGAGAAAATGCTAAGTAACTGATTTACTATCTGAAAAGGGATTTACTATTGGGGAAAGGGAGGGAAGAAGAGACTGAACATAAACTGCACCTATGGATGAGGACAATGGGGGATGGGGAGGGGTCGGAGGGTGGGGTGGGAACCTGGTGGAGGGGGGAAGAAATGAGGAACCTTTGTAATAATATGAACAATAAAGATTGATTTAAAAAAAAAAAAAAAAAAGGCCAAAAAAAAAAAAAAAAAAAAAAAGAAACTCGGGCTGGGCCCTAACCGGTTTGGCTCAGTGGATAAAGTGTTGGCTTGCAGACTCAAGGGTCCCTGGTTCGATTTCAGTCAAGGGCATATACCTTGGTTGTGGGCACATACCCAGTGGGGTGTATGCAGGAGGCAGCTGATAGATGTTTTTCTCTCTTCGATGTTTCTAACTCTATATCCTTCTCCCTTCCTCTGTGTAAAAAAATCAATGTATTAAAAACAAAAACAAAAAAAAAAACTTGGGCTGGTAAAAGAGGCAAATGAGTCAATAAAAAGTTACAACACATTGTTACTAATTAATATTTACTAATGCAATGTCTGTGGAATTCTGTGATAACATAGAAGTCTACTGTATTTATATTTTTACTTTTTCAAGATTCCTTCTTTACGCTGAAACTGGTTTGGCTCAATGGATAGAGCGTCGGCTTGGGGACTAAAAGGTCCCGAGTTCGATTCCGGTCAAGAGCATGTACCTTGGTTGCGGGCATATCCCCAGTAGGGGATGTGCAAGAGGCAGATGATCGATGACTCTCTCTCATCGATATTTCTAACTCTCTATCTCTCTCCCTTCCTCTCTGTACAAAATCAATAAAATATATTTTAAAATAAAACAAAACAAAAAAGATTCCTTTTTTTTAATTTCCCTTCTATTTAGAATTCCTCCTATACCCTTTTTATTTTTAGGTTAGGTCTGTTGGTAACAAATTAGTTATACCCTTCATCTGAGAATGTCTTGATTTCCCTTTTTATTCTTGAGGTGGTTTTCAATGAATAAAAGATTCTGGGTTGACACTTCTTTCAGGACTTGAAAAATGCTGTGCTTCCTCCTTCTGGCCTCATTTCTGATGAGAAATCCAATTCTAATTATTTCTCCCTTCTAGGTAAGGCATCATTCTCTCTTGCTGCTTTCAAGACATTTCTCTTTCCTTTAGTTTTCAGAAGTTTGATTATAATATATCTTGGCATGGGTTCCTCTGGGTTTGATCTATGTTGGGTCCATTCTGCTTAACTCTCTGGGTTTATCTTGTGCCATATTTGGGAATTTTTCAGCCACTATTTCAATACTCTGTCCCCCCTTCTCTTTACCCTCTGGAACTCTGTGATGGCATGAATATTAGATCTTTTGTTATACTCTGTCCTCAGGTCCCCGGGGTGTGTGTTTCCCCAAGCTATTTTCTCTGTTATCCACATTGGGTAATTTCTATTGACCTTTCTTCTGCTGTTAAGTTCATCCACTGAGATTTTACTTTGGTTATTTAGGTGTCAGTTCTAAAAATTCACTCTGGTACTTTTTATATTCTATTTCTTTGCTGAGGCTTGAAGCATTTTTATGATGCCTGTTTTACAAATATTTGACAGAATTCTCGGCTGCCAGGCTGGGAGCGGCCAGGCCCGGGGGAGCAGCCGGGGCTGGTGCGGCCAGGCCCGGAGCAGCGGCTGCCAGGCTGGGAGCGGCCAGGCCCGGGGGAGCAGGCGGGTCGGGTGCGGCCAGGCCCGGAGCAGCGGCTGCCAGGCTGGGAGCTGCCAGGCCCGGAGCAGCAGCAGCCAAGTCCAGAGCAACTAGGTCGGGAGCGGCAGTGACCAGACCCGGAGCAGCTGGTTGTGGAATGAACCAGAGCAACAGAGGCCAGGCCCTGAGCAGCCAGGCCCAGAACAGCTCGCTCCTTGCCTGCCCCTGCCCCACGGCTGCTTCTCAGACATGGCTGGAAACTTTCGTGGGAACTTGAGGGTCTGCTGAATCAAGTGATGAAGGCTTAGATCTGGATGTGTTGAGTTAGTTTAGGACTGGGGTGTTGATCTGTGAGTGCCTTGGGTGGGGCCTGGATGAGGCTAGTGGACCTATTGGGAAATGTCTTTTGTGTGAAGTGTATCATTGGGCATGTGGAGGTATTATTGATATGAGAAAATGCTAAGTAACTGATTTACTATCTGAAAAGGGATTTACTATTGGGGAAATTGAGGGAAGAAGAGACTGAACATAAACTGCACCTATGGATGAGGACAATGGGGGATGGGGAGGGGTCGGAGGGTGGGGTGGGAACCTGGTGGAGGGGGGAAGAAATGAGGAACCTTTGTAATAATATGAACAATAAAGATTGATTTAAAAAAAAATAAATATAAAAAAAATAAATAAAAAATAAAAAAACAAATAAAAAACAAAACAAATATTTGACAGAATTCTAATGAGTCATCTTAATGTTGATATTGGTTGTCTTCTCATTCAAGTTGAGGTTTTCTAGGTTCTTTGTATAAATGACTTTATAATTAAATCCTGGACATTTGTGGAATTATGACTCTGGATCTTAATTGTCTCATTTAAAGCAAGTATTTTCTGACACAGTGCCAGTGGGGGAAGGGGAAAACTGCCTCCTTACTGCCTTGGGAGTCTAGGCCCCCACTCAGCCTCTTCTGGCAGGTGAAGAGGAGCTGTTCTTTTGTGTGTCGCTGGAAGTTGTTTATGTAAGATTTCTGTCTTGCTGAACTTGGTCCTTTGACTAGAGAGCAGGCTTTAAAAAAAAATCCTCACCTGTGGTATTTTTTCCATTGTTTTTCAGAGAGAAAGGAAAAGAGAAAGGGAATGAGACAGACATCGATATGAGCAAGACACATTGACTGGCTACCTCCCACATGTGCCCTGTAAGCAAACTACAACCCAGGTATGTGCCCTTTTGGTGACAAGGCAGATGCTCTAACCACTGAGCCACCAGCCAGGGAGAGAAAGCAGGTTTTTGTTGTGGCTTTTTTTTTTGTGTGTGTTTTTGTTTCTGTGCTTCTCTAGCACCCAGCTAAAGATACATGAAGCAAAAAGAAAATCTACATTTCTAAAAGGTAGAGGGAAGGGAGATTGGCTATGATCCTCAGGACCTGAAAAACACAACGAAGTATGTTTTGTCTCTCACATCAATGTCTGTGTATCTAGCTCTCTCTTCTTCCCCTCTTCTTTTTCTTTCTGGAAGCAATGGAAAAAATATCCTCAGTTGAGGATTTAAAAATAAATAAATAAATAAATAAAAAAACCTGCTCTCTCTAGCCAAAGAAACAGTTTAAGCAAGATAGATCTTATGGATTGTTTTATATGTAACTAGAGTCCTGGTGCATAAAAATTCATGCAGTGGTGGAGGGGTCCCTCAGCCTGGCCTGCCCCTCTGACAGTCTGGGAGCCCTCAGGGGTGAGAGGCAACCCAGCAATCAGGGGCAGGTGACGCCCCCATCACACTTCTGCTGCTGCCACTGCCGGTAGTGTAAGCCTCAGCCAGCCCTGGTTCCCTGAGCCTCGGCAGGCTCTGGGCGGCTACCATCTGAGGCTTACCTGCACCTCAGGCTGGCCCTGGGTTGTTGGAGGGACTGGGGGACTCTGGAGGCAGGTGTGTGGAGCAGCCAGACCTGCCTGGGGGCGGGCCCTGGCCATGCTGTGCACCTGCCACCCTGACAGGGCTGAGGGAACTGGGCACCGCCATCTTTGAGGGTGTGACAGTCAATTAGCATATTACCTCATTAGCTGTAGGCAACATCTTTGTGAGGGTGTGGTGGTCAATTAGCATATTCATTTTTTAATAGATAGGATACCCAAAGATTTTAGTTGTTCTTAGTGGAGGAATCAGGAAAAGCACATCTGCTCCATTATTCCAGAAGCACAAGTCAGGAACAGAGTCAGTTCATATCCTTTGGATGCTTAAACTATACAGTCTGAATAGCTGGCTCTTTGACATGACTCATTATTCTTTACTTCCCAAGATGTTATAGGCTCACTGTACTCTCCCTCCCCCAGCCCTGGAATCTGTCTTTTCTACCAGGAGCCCTGGTTGGTTTAAGCCAGTCCTGGGAGGCCATTTGTTTACTCTGCTCAGGCTGCTATAATAAAATGTCATGGATTGGGTGGCTTCAACAACAGAAATCTATTTCTAGTTCCATAGTTTTTGGAAGTCAAAGATCAAGGACGGTGAGACAGTTGTCTTCTTGCTGTGTTCTCATGAGGCCCTTCCTTGGCACATGGTTTGCCGTGTCTCTTTCTTTTCTCATAAGGGCACTAAACAGGACACATCATAAGGGTCCCACTGTCTTGACCTCATCTAAACATAATTACCTTCCAAACACCCCACCTCCTAAAACCGTCTCACTGGGAGTTAGGGCTCCAACATATGAATTGAAGGAGGGGGCAATTCAGTCCATAACCACGCTTGCCAATGAGTAGTTCAGGCATGGGCCCTTCTCTCTTTCTAATGAAGATAAGATGGCAATTAGACAAGAGTTCTCTACTTTCTCTACTTGAGCATCTGGCACAGGGGCCACCACTTGCTGCCAGCCTACGGACCAGACAACACAGAGAGGGCGGAGCCAAGAGCATCATAGGAACTAGATGCTCTGGGAACTAGAACCCCAATTTATCCCATCTACAGATTTTGGTCCCGTTTTGGTCCTCCATCTGCCTCACCCCTGATCTGCCTCACTCAGCAGTTGAAAAGAGGGGTTTGCCAATCACTTGGTCTCACAAAAATCTTTGATCTGAACCTACAAAACCTATGCACACATTCCTTTACACTTCTGTTTATTCTTCCTGTTTGGAAAAGCCATCGAGTATCTTTATGGAAGAGAGAAGACAATTTTGGAAAAGTTCTCTGGATTGCTGTGCTGAATTTTCAAGTAGGAACCTATAAAGCCAGAGATCCAGGAGGCCAGGCCTCCAGGGTCCTGAAGAGAAGTTCGAAGGGCAGCAACTTCCACCAACACTCTCTCCTCAGCCCAGGGAGCTCATCAGGGCCTGGGCCTGCTTCAGTTCTGCCAGGGAAGAGGGAAGCAGTTAGGCAGCAGTCAGGTGGGATCTGAGAGGCCCCTAACCTCTCCAGGTACAGCTGAGCCTTCTTACCTGCCAGGAGGACCTGGAATTTGTCTGCTGAGAGGGATAGGGCAACAGGCTGGGCAGGGGCCTCCGGGGCAGCTGCCACCTCCAGCCGCAGGTGCACCATTGGCTCTTCCACAGACTGGAGCAGACTGGAGCTCATGGTGTAGTCTACCCGCCAGCCCGTGCCTGCCAGCCTGTTTACTGAGAGACAGGATGGGGCTCTCAGACTCATGGCAGGTGAGCCATGCAGCCCTCAGCCTAGCCCCTAGCTCAGCCTACAACCCTTCCGGTTGTATGGCTTTTGGGAAGCTCTTATTTCTTTGACCTCTGATCCATAGCATGTGCCCAGTAATTGGGAGCTTCAATTATCCACAGATCTCAGAAGAAAGAAACCTGGCTAGAGTCAGAAGTCCTGGCTCTGTGATTGTGACATGTGACCATGAGTAAATCTTCTGAGAACAAGCACATCCCATGCTAGATGTACCTTCTAGAATAGACCCCAAACCACACCTGGTTGACTCCACACTTACCACGCAGGCTGCAGGCTCGCAAGTACTCCTGCAGGGGGCTTTGCTTCTCTTCGTAACAGCGACATAGGCTGGCTGCGTGCTCTAGGGCAGAATGGAGGTGGCTGCTAGGGCTGCTCAGAGGGCAGTATTGGGCTCCTGACCCAGAAGGGCAGGGTGCATTTCATGGCAACCCTTGGCCTGCCCAGGTCCTCATACCTTTAGGCAACCCCAGCTGCTGCAATTCACTGGACAAGGACTCGCCATCCACGCTGTGCTTGGCCGCACTGGAGAGGAGGAAACTCAGTACTGCCACAGTGGCTTTCACATCGCCCAGCTCTGGGGAGACCCATGGGAGGTAGGAGGTGTCACTATAGCCCCAGCTACCTCCTTGTTGCCCTACTATCTCCAGCGCAGAGCCCCCAGCCTCCTTGAGCCATGAGCTTTACTGCTGCCGGCAGAGGACACTGGGGTAGACTGCCCATGTCTTCTCCTCAGGTTCCTCTGCTAAGGCAGCTGGGTCAGAGTGAGCTGCTGGGAAAAGGGTCTCTGCACCAGGCGCCAGGCCGAGTAGCCAGAGTTGCCCGAAGCCTGTGGACTCAGTGGGGTACTCACCAAACCTGGCATCAGCAGTGAGCTTCTGGACCTTCTCGTACTGTGGGGAAAGGAGGCCTGTAAGGGTGCCAGACCCCTGCTGCCACCGCTTACCCCCAGCCGCCTGGATCCTGTTAAGGATGGGCAGGAGGCTGATCACCCACCTCCCTGGGTTTGGTGCACCCTCAGGGTTGTGGGACAAGGGCTGGACCAGGCACTCACATCCATCCCCAGCCCCAGAAGCTCCTGCAGCACCTGACCGCACAGCAGCCTCAGCTTCACGGAGGACTGGAGGGAAGGTCCAACATCAGCCCGATGGCCCTCATCCCTCCATGCTGGGGCTGCTCAGAGTCATTCATGTGAGCAGGCACACAGCATGCTAGGATGGGCAGAGAGCACTGAGGCCCACACCCTCAACTCCCAGGGTCCCATCCCCAACCCCTGTAACTCCAGCCCCCAAGATGACCCTATGCACTCAACAATCTTGGCAAGTGTGCTGATCTCCGCCAGGACCCAGTCAGGACAGTCCAGATCACCACAGAACCGGAACCTCTGCAAGGAAGTAAGACAAGTGGTCAGGCTGGAAGGAGTGAGGTGTGGCCAGTGTCTCTCACACTACTGTTCCTCAGGGAGCCGCTGGATCTCCCTGATTATCAGGCTGTCAGAGAGCCCCTCCCTGACCCACCTGCCACAAACTTTGTTCTGATGCCTACCCCAGGCATTCATCTGTCCAGCCAACATTGACTGGGTGCCTCCTCTGTGGTAGATGCCACAGAACAAAATAAAGTCCCTGGCCTTACAGCAGTGACCTCTCTCACTTCCTTTTCCTCCCTGGCTCCAGCCACAATGTCCTCCCTCCTGTTCCTGTTACACCAGGCACTCCCACCACTGTCCTTATGGTCTGCTTGCCCTCTCATTTCATTCAGATCTCTGCTCATATGACACCTCTTCTGATGGCCCTTTTCTAAACATACTTTCTAAAACAGGAAATTTCAGGGGCCAGTGGGTGTGTTTATTAGCTTGATCCTGAAAACATTTTCATGAGCCATGTCAAAAAATACTGTACTGAAAAAAAAAAAATACTGAACTGTATATTTACACGTGCTGTTCTCAATAAAGCTGTTAAAAAATAAAAATCACTCTTTTCTATCATGCTCTAGCTCCTTATACTTCTTGCTTGATCACCACAGCATATATCACATTTTGTTATTTATCCACTCCTCTGTTAGAATGCAAACCCACCCTGTCAATCATGTTTTGCCAGTATCCTCTATTCCCCTGATCAGTTGTCCTTATTGCCTGGCAAAGTTCTTTTTCTTTTTTTTATTTATAATTTTTAAAATATATTTTATTGATTTTTTTACAGAGAGGAAGGGAGAGAGATAGAGAGCTAGAAACGTCAATGAGAGAGAAACAACGACCAGCTGCCTCCTGCACACCCCCACCGGGGATGCGCCTGCAACCAAGGTACATGCCCTTGAACGGAATCGAACCTGGGACCTTTCAATCCGCAGACCGATGCTCTACCACTGAGCCAAACCGGTTTCGCCCAAAGTTCTTTTTCTTTTTTTTTTAAAAAAAATAATTTTTACTGAGAGGAAGGGAGAGAGAGTTAGAAACATCAATGAGAGAGAGTCATCGATCAGCTGCCTCTTGCACACCCCCTACTGGGGATGTGCTTGCAACTAAGGTACAAGCCTTTGATAGGAATCGAACCCGGGACCCTTCAGTCCACAGGTTGCCGCTCTATCCACCGAGTCAAACCGGTTTCGGCAAGAGAAACATCAATCAGCTGCCTCCTGCACACCCCCCACTGGAGAGATGTGCCTGCGATCAAGGTACATGCACTTGACTGGAATCGAACCTGGGACCCTTCAGTCCACTGGGCCAAACCGGTTTCGGTCCGCCTGGCAAAGTTCTAATCCACAGCAATATACATGTCCATGTCTCTACCGAGATGGAAACAAACCCCCCACTCTAATGCTCTTCCCACTGAAACCTGCTTCCCCTACTGAGTTTCCCACTCCACTGAGCACAACCACCTGGGAACCAATCTCCAACACCTCCCTCTCATTTTTTCCTCACACTTAATCCCAGAGCCCAGCTAACTCCCCCGCCGCTTCTATCTCCACTTTCCACCCTAATTCACCACCATCTCCTGAGGGTCTTGCTGCTCCAGCCTGGGCTCTCTGCTCCCTCCACAAAGTGACCAAAAGGATCTAACTGGCCAGTGCCTTCTTCTTAAAGTCCAAATGTGGCTCTTAAAACCCAGCAAGCGTTGGCCTTTGCTTGCCTGTCCAGTCTCATCTTTCACTAACCTTCAGTCTATACTCCTTCAGTTGGGGTAATGCATTCATTTCTAGGGAGCCAAGCTCTCTAACCCCTGAGGTGAGTGAATGTGCTGGTCCCTGTCTGACCCCATGACTCCTAAGTCCTGGTATACAAACTGCACTGTAAGGAGCCAGCTTTCTTCCCTTCCCCCAGGCCCTCAGTCTGCTTTCCCATCACTATATTCAAAGTACAGTAAAGGTCTCTTCCCCTCAGGTCTTAACTATGACTGCCAAATGAAGCTTCTAATTTTGCCCTTCCTTTCTGCAGCTGAAGTCTCAGTGAGCAGCACAGAGCCTGGGCTAGAGTAAGCACTCAACATCTGTTGAAGGAATGAATGGATGGGTTGGGAAATCCCAACCCAAACTCCTACCGGGCTCTGGGAGGGTCTGACAGTTAAGAATTTGACTGAGCCTAATTTCTTTTGTTGTGGTTAATCCTCACCTAAGATATTTTCCATCGACTTTTAGAGAGAATGGAGGGAGGAAGGAGGAGGAAAAGGCGGAAGAGGGTAGGGGGGAGGGGAGAGGAGAGAGGAAGGAGGAGGGAAAAGAGGAAAGAGGAGGGGGGGAGAGAGAAACATGGATGTGAGAGGGACACATCCCTGGTCGCCTGCCTAGACCAAGGCCGGTGGAGCCAGAATCGAAGCTGATCCAGGCCCACACGCTCTGCCCACTGGGCCCAACCGGCTGGGGCTAGACTGAGCCTAATTCTAAGTAAGCTCTGCGCAGTCCGTGGGCAGGAGGGTGAAGCGGGCAACTGTGGGAGGCCCTGCTGGAGCCCGGGAAGGCCAGGAAGGCCTGCCTCCCCGCAGCAGCCCCTCCCTCAGGCCTGTCTTCCTTTCCGTCCAGGAAGCGCCCGGGCCTCCCCCGCTAGCCTGTCCTGCCCGCCGGGCGGTGGAGTCGGCGGCGGGAGCTTTTCTCTCAACTCTTCGCCGGCACCACTGCGGCCGCCCGGCCCCCTCGGGCCGCGCCTCACCCTTCCGAAGGGGCAGCGGCGAACTCTGGGGGACCCTGCCCTGCCCGCCAGCACCGCCGGCCGCTCCCCTTTTCCTCACCATCGCGCCGGGAAACTAGCCGGGACTTTCTCCTTCCGGTGGCTCGGGGTCAGAGGGCGCGGCGGTCACGTGACGCGGGGCGGGGCCTCCTCGGACGGGGCGGGGCGGGTCGCCCGCCGGAGCCGCCGTCGGGCTGCAAGCCAGCGCCTCCCCGGAAGCCCTCCGGCTGGCGGCGGGCACCCCCTCCCCCTTCACGGGAGCGCTCCGAGCGGGAGAAGACGGCGAGCAGCGCGCCCGGCGGGAGCGTAAGATGGCGGCGTAGCCGGAAGCTTTGGCTGCTCTGGTTCCGAACCTGGAGCCGCAGAGATCGCCGAGCAAAGAGCGCCCGGGGTAGTTGGCCAAGATGCCGAATATCAAAATCTTCAGCGGCAGCTCCCACCAGGACTTGTCCCAGAAAATTGCCGACCGGCTGGGCCTGGAGCTGGGCAAGGTGGTGAGTAAGAAATTCAGCAACCAGGAGACCTGTGTTGAAATCGGCGAAAGCGTCCGCGGAGAGGACGTCTACATCGTCCAGAGCGGCTGCGGTGCGGTTAATGACAACCTAATGGAGCTTCTGATCATGATGAACGCCTGTAAGATTGCCTCCGCCAGCCGGGTCACCGCAGTCATCCCGTGCTTCCCGTACGCCCGGCAGGACAAGAAGGATAAGAGCCGGGCTCCCATCTCAGCCAAGCTGGTTGCGAATATGCTCTCCGTTGCAGGTGCAGATCATATTATTACCATGGACCTTCATGCTTCTCAAATCCAGGGCTTTTTTGATATCCCTGTGGACAATTTGTACGCAGAGCCAGCTGTCCTGAAGTGGATAAGGGAGAATATACCTGAGTGGAGGAACTGCACTATTGTCTCACCCGATGCGGGGGGAGCTAAGAGAGTTACCTCCATTGCGGACCGTTTGAATGTTGACTTTGCCTTGATTCACAAAGAACGGAAGAAGGCCAACGAAGTGGACCGCATGGTGCTGGTAGGAGACGTGAAGGATCGCGTGGCCATTCTGGTGGATGACATGGCTGACACTTGTGGCACGATCTGCCATGCAGCCGACAAACTTCTTTCAGCTGGAGCCACCAAAGTTTATGCTATCCTGACTCACGGGATCTTTTCTGGCCCCGCCATTTCTCGCATTAACAATGCATGCTTTGAAGCAGTGGTGGTCACCAATACCATCCCTCAGGAGGATAAGATGAAGCATTGCTCTAAAATACAGGTGATCGACATCTCCATGATTCTTGCAGAAGCCATCAGGAGAACTCACAACGGGGAATCTGTTTCCTACCTCTTCAGCCATGTCCCTTTATAATAGAATAACTTCTGAGGCTTTTAAAAAATAAAGTGAACCCCTTCCCTTGTTTTCTCTTGGTGTTTGATGGAAAATTCATCAGAAGCCCCAGCTTGCTCCAGTAGCTTTCTACATCCCATTCCAGGTATATTAACTTTTCTCCAAAACTAGGGAAAAACAGATTGAGACTACTTAGATTTCCTACCTGCATTGTCTCGTTCTGGCTTCTTTGATTTTGTGGGCCTTGCAGCTTTATAACTCAGCTTCTGCAAGACTTCAGACTTCCGAGACCGGTTTGGCTCAATGGATAGAGCGTCGGCTTGGGGACTGAAGGGTCCCGGGTTCGATTCCGGTCAAGGGCATGTACCTCGGTTGCGGGCATATCCCTAGTAGGGGGTGTGCAGGAGGCGGTTGATCGATGACTCTCATCGATGTTTCTAACTCTCTATCTCTCTCCTTTCCTCTCTGTACAAAATCAATAAAAATATATTAAAAAAAAAAAAAAAGACTTCAGACTTCTAAGGGTGTTGTGTGGGGGTGTTTGAATGTGTTTGGGGGAGCTTAGACTGCTTTTCATGTGAATGCTTCTGGGATCCCTAGGTTCAGAACTACTAGCAACAGATCCAAAACACCCCAAAAACAACAAAAAGAACAAAGCCAAACTAACTCTCAACCCTCCTTAACATGTGACAAGTTCCCCAATGTCTGTACTTAAGAGCCTTAGGCAGCCCAGACTCCAGCTCTGGTTCCTGTAAGGAAGGCAGCTCTGGGGTAGGGCCTGAGGGAAGGCTGCACACAGTGCAGCAGATGCTTCTTGGGAGGAAAAAAGCCTGATCCTTCACCCTCTGCTAGGAGACTGTCTCTTAGTCTCTTTTGTACCTGTTCCTTCTGCACTTGGTTTGACCATCAACCATCTTGACCTTTTCCTGGTTAAATTCCTTTTTGGGCCCAAATAATCATTGTACCAGTCTTTTGGAAAGCAAATCTCACTTTTTCCTGTGTATTCTTTAACATTTACATGAAATCATTTAGCTGTAGCTTAATCTTAGTCCACTGTCACTGTGGTAGAAGGTTCTAGGTGGTTTTGTACTACTTTTTGATTAAGTATTTAATTTTCTCTTTTTTTAATTAAATCTTTATTGCTCAGATTATTACAATTGTTTCTCCTTAAGTATTTAATTTTCATCTTATTTCCTTGGATCTTTTTGGCCTCTCAAATGACCTGAGGTTTCTGTTAAAAAGATTGATGATGTTACTAGCTCTTGTAAAGAAAAGTAATAAAGTATCTGTGTGTTAGAGAGAGAAAGAGAAAGAGAGAGAGAAGAAAATATTGCCCTAACTGTTTTGGCTCAGTGGATAGAGCGTTGGCCTACAGTCTGAAGGATCCCAGGTTCGATTCCGGTCAAGGGCATGTAACGATTGTGGGCACATCCCCAGTAGAGGATGTGTAGGAGGCAGCTGATGGATGTTTCTCTCTCCTCGATGTTTCTAACTCTCTATCCCTCTCACTTCCTCTCTGTAAGAAAAACAATAAAATATATTTTTTAAAAAGAAAAGAAAATAGGGAGTGGAAGCCATTTAATTTGTTGGAGTTAAGGCATCAGGCGCTCAGGAACCAGGTCTGGAACTTAATGTAATTCTCTTAGGAGGGGCCTTGGGTTATTTCCATGTTCTCTATGGGTAAGCAAGGCTCTTATACAGTAATTGTAGGCTGTGGTGAAAGCCATATTTTATTTTATTTTATTTATTTTTAATGTGTATTCCCAACACATCTTTATTAACAACAAAGTAATTCAGTTACTGTCCTCATAAAATAGAAAAACATATACACGAATTAAAATGAAAGCAATTCTTAATGTTTATAAGTTGATTATTTCCTTATATTTGAGCATATATGATGTTTTTCCTTCTAATGTTTCTGACAGCAAATTACTACTAATATCTGTATCCAAATAATTGAACATTTTGGGTGCTTTGAAGAATAATTGTCACCTTCTTTTGAGGGCTTTACTGATAACTGAATTATTTTCCCTCTAGAGCCAGTGTCATTTTTTTTCTTTTAAAAATTTTATTTTTATTTTTTTATAAATTATTATCTGTGTACATATTTTACCCTTGCTCCCCCCCCCCCCCATACATACCCTCCCTTCCCAGAGTTTTGTGTCCATTGGTTGTACTTATATGCATGTATACAAGTCCTTCGGTTTATCTCTTATCTCCCCCAGATCTTCCTAACCTTCCCGCTGTAATTTGACAGTCTGCTTGTTGCTTTACTGTCTCTATATCTATCTTTTAGTTCATCAGTTTATAATGTTCTTTATTATCCATAAATGAGTGAGGTCATGTGGTGTTTCTCTTTCATTGACTGGCTTATTTCACTCAGCATGATTTTCTCCAATTCCATCCAGGTTGCTGCAAATGATGAAAATTCCTTTTTTATGGAATTAGTGTAGATAGTATTCCATTGTGTAGATGTACCATTGTTTTTTGATCCAATCATCTGCTGATGGGCATCTAGGCTGTTTCCAAATCCTAGCTATTATAGATTGTGCTGCTATGAACATAGGGGTGCATATATTCTTTCTGATTTGGTGTTTCTAGTTTCTTAGGATATAATCCTAGGAGTGGGATTACTGGGTCAAATGGGAGTTCCATTTTCAGTTTTTTGAGGAAACTCCACACTGTTCTCCACAGTGGTTGCACCAGTCTGCATTCCCACCAGCAGTGAACGAGGGTTCCTTTTTCTCCGCAACCTCGCCAACACTTGTTGTTTGTTGATTTGTTGATGTTGGCTGTTCTGACAGGTGTGAGATGGTACCGCATTGTTGTTTTGATTTGCATCTCTCGGATAATTAGTGACTTTGAGCATGTTTTCATGTGCCTCGTGGCCTTCCTTCTGTCTTCTTTTGAAAATATTCTATTTAGGTTCATTGCCCATTTTTTATTTATTTTTTATTTTATTTTATTTTTAAATATATTTTATTGACTTTTCACAGAGAGGAAGAGAGAGGGATAGAGAGTTAGAAACATTGATGAGAGAGAATCATCGATCAGCTGCCTCTTGCACACCCCCTACTGGGGATGCGCCCGCAACCAAGGTACATGCCCTTGACCGGAATCGAACCCAGGACCTTTCAGTCTGCAGGCCGATGCTCTATCCACTGAGCCAAACTGGTCCCAGCCATTGCCCATTTTTTAATTGGATCATTCATTTTCCTTTTATTTAGTTGTATAAGCTGTCTGTAGATGTTGGAGATTAAACCTTTATCAGTGATAACATTTGCAAATATGTTCTCCCATACATTGGGCTTTCTTGTTGTTTTGTTGATGGTTTCTTTTGCTGTGAAAAAGCTTTTTATTTTGATGTAGTCCCATTTGTTTATTTTCTCTTTAGCTTCCATTGCCCTAGGGGCAGTATCAGTGAAGAAGTTCTTTTGGCATACGTCTGAGATTTTGCTGCCTGTGGATGCCTCTAGTATTATGGTTTCCTGTCTGATGTTTAAGTCCTGTATCCATTTTGAGTTTATTTTTGTGTATGGTGTAAGTTGGTGAACTAGTTTCATTTTTTTGCATGTATCTGTCCAATTTTCCCAACACCATTTATTGAAGAGACTGTCTTGACTCCATTGTATGTTCATGCCTCCTTTGTCAAATATTAATTGAACATAGTGATTTGGGTTGATATCTGGGTTCTCGATTCTATTCCATTGATCTGTATGTCTGTTCTTGTGCCAGTACCAGACTGTTTTGAGAACAGTGGCTTTGTAATACAGGAAGGCCATATTTTAAAACATTATTACAATATGATACACATACAGAAAATTGAACAGAAATACAAAGCTTAATTGAATTTTCATAAACTGTACACCCCATGCCCTGACACCCATATAAGAAAACAACATTATCAGGACCCTGGGTACTTCCTTAAATGCCTGTGTATTCTCTTCCATTTTGATGAACCTCCTCAGAAAGAGGGCGGTGACAAATGACAAGTGCAGCGTCAGGGTCGCTGAAAGAGGAATGCTTGAGGCCAAAAGAGAGAGAATTATGGATTTATTAGGTCATCTGGAAACCCACATGGGCTGAGCCCCAAAATGGCGCCAGCACACAAAGATGGGGAGTCAGAGGTTTTTAAAGGACTCTAGGTGGGTTTTTTCTGGGCTGAAGAGACTGTCTTAACTCCACTGTATGCTCTTGCCTCCTATGTCAAATATTAATTGAGCATAATGGCTTGGGTTGATTTCTGGGGTCTCTGTTCCATTCCATTAATCTATATGCCTGTTCTTGTGCCAGTACCAGGCTGTTGTGATTATGGTGGCTTTGTTATATAGCTTGATGTCTAGTATTGTGATCCCTACAATTTTGTTCTTCTTTTTCAAGATTGCTGTGGCATTTTGGGATCTTTTTTGGTTCCATATAAATTTTTGAAGCATTTGCTCTAGACCTGGAAATATGTTGTTGGTATTTTAATCGGGGTTACATTGAATCTATAAATTGCTTTGGGCAGTATGGACATTTTAATGATGTTGATTCTACCAATCCATGAACACGGTATATTTTCCCACTTGTTTATAACTTCCTCTATCTCTTTTTTCAACGTCCTTTATTTTCCAAGTACAGGTTTTATGCCTCCTTGGTTAAGTTTATTCCTAAGTATTTTTAATTTTTTTAGTTGCAATGGTAAATGGGATTGTTTAGTTTTTCTTCTTGAGAATTCATCATTGGTGTATAAAAATGCCATCAATTTCTGGGTGTTAATTTTGTATCTGCTACATTGCCAAATTAATTTATTAGATCTAGTAGTTTTATGATGGAATTTTTAGGGTTTTCTGTGTACAATATCATCTCATCTGTGAATAATGAGAGTTTTACTTTTTCCTTTCCAATTTGGATGTATTTTATTTCTTCTTATCTGATTGCTGTGGCTAGGACTTCCAGTTCTATTTTGAATAAGAGTGGTGAAAGTGGACATCTTTGTCTTGTTACTGTTCTTGGGTGAAATGGTTTTAATTTTTGCCCAA